TTGGCCCTCCAAGCCAGTGGTCGTGACAGTGTAATTTATGATAGTCGCTCGACTGAAGAGATTGGCGGAGAACTTCGGATTTGGCAGCTTGGAAGTCAAGTAGAGTCGGAATCCCCAGTCGTATTCTACCTCCCGATCGCCCAACATGATAACCTCCCGACCCTTTTCCTCTGTAAGAGTCAGAGTACAAAATGCTTAGCTCGTTACTTCATTCAAAAATATTTTTGGGGGTTTACTAGTAAAAATACGACTTCCGGTTTTTAAGTCGCAATGAAGGAGAGACGATCGCGACTTCTCGTCCCTGTGCTGCCATTAGCAAGTTTTTATGTCTTTATAAAGCTCCTCCCCGCATGAGGAAACAAAAGGCGAGTCTTGAAGGAAGAAGAGCAGATTGTGCAATTCCTAGTACTGACACAAACGATTATCAATCGTTTTCCACTATGGATAATTCCCGTATGGAACAAGATGACTACGCTCACGACTATGGTCGTCGTGGGAAGTAGTCCCTTCAAACCAATCAGAAATAAGCACAGATTATGCCCTAGTAGCAATGGCAGTGCAATTCGATTCTAATTTTCTCGCTCATTTCGAGCTCGCAATTGATTGGTTGTTGGGCCCTTTGCGCTAGCGTAATTAAAGGCGCCAACCAATGAGCGCAGAGCTGCCCACCTGCGGGTAAATTATCGATTCCATTGCACGCTCAGCGGCCGGGCGAACTCGCGAGCTCACGCGTGACGTGGAAATTCCTCCTCAATCAAGTCGCCGTACGCAAGATTTCAATGTGCGTGGTAGTGACTTGACCATATTGCCAATTGGACAGGTTATTTTCACTGTCCTGCCAATTGGTCCACGGCCACAACCGCCGAACTCTACTACGAGTAAATTGCATTGCACTATCTGGGGATTTTTTTGTATAAACTTATGTAATCTGTCGTCTTTCTCGCATAGCCTCTGGATATGAGCTCCTGCGCGATGTCGAAGGCTCGAACTAATAGAGCTGCAGGTTCCAGAGATCGCGCGCTCAATAAGAGCCTGGGAATTGAATATTCACCTCTATTCATGGATGGAATCCACTCGGCATATTCAGGAATATCTGCATTGGAAAGGATATTGGCAAAGTCCAGGAAGGACTAAATAGCTATTTCTGACTCATCCGCCAATATCGAACAGCCATTTCCTAATCCTAGGTCACGAAGACCCGAGATTTGAAATTGGGTTTAGGTGATCATCGAACGTCCGAATCGAAAGCTCCAACAGTGGTTCTTTTTTCATTATGTTCCTGCCTGAGACCTTGGGGAAGAGAGGGATCTTGGGGCTTTGGAAAACAGGCGCTCGGATTGTTTGTTCGAGCTTGCCTCCTCTAGGACTTTGGCTCAAGAACCTAACCACAAGTTAGCGGCGACAAACAAACCTACTTAATTGCGGTTCACGCTCGCCATGTCACAGTGCTATCTTTGGGACCTACGGCATATTATAAGGCAGTCGGTACGCCAGAACTTGTAGAAGTCTAGGTAGTGGTTGTGCCTAGATCACTACAATCATTAGTCCGAATCTCAGGTTGGAGGGAAAAGACAAGAGTCACCAGAATGAGGGTTGTTGCAATTGTCCGAAGGGATGTTGCCTGCAAAGGTGTTTACCGCATCGGCCGAGGCGTGTCTCAGTCAAGTGGCCCTTAGGCAAGCGCTGAAGTCAACTGTCGGGTCCGCAGGAACGGGACGTTGACGCAGCTGCTATCGGTTAGCTAAAAGCAACTGCGAGGTCAAGCCTCTAGGGACGGGGGCGCTAGTGAAAGAAAGCATTGTAACAGTTGCTTATGACGGCACGAGCGAACCT